TTCCATGGAGACGCTACTGAAGAGTCACTCCGGCAGGGCGAACAGTATACAAGCTGCGTCCCCCTCTGCGAGAAGCAGCTGAGAAAGTCTGTGAAGATTTGCTCTAGTCTGCTGTGCGTGTCGCTAGGGTAGACAGAGGGGACAGAGTAGGCCTCATACGTCGCCATCTTGTCTGCTACAGGGCCTTCAGCTCTTAGTGGTGCAGGTGCCCGCGGGTGTAAAACTCCCGGGACTGGGATAACCCCCAACGGTCCAAAGGTGGGGGAGAAGAGGGCAGCAGAAGTAATCACCAGACTATGCTGGGTACAGGCGAGCAGTCATCCCTCCTGTACTGAGTCAGCTAGTAGTAGTAGGCTGCCAGCAGTGCAATGCTGAAAGAAGGTGATATAAGGCTGCAGGAGTGGTATCACTGTGATCACAAGAGGTTCCAAAAACAGGGATGTCTAGAGAAATGGTGTGAAATCAGGTAGATTCAGTAAAAAGGTTGAGAAAACCAGGTCAGTTCAGTGGAGCTGCAGCCGTGTGCTTCCTCACAGCATGGCAACCAAGCCCGCCTCTCTTTGTATTATATTTTAAATGTATGCACTGTGACTATTTTTTGTTCGTAATAAATTTTCCTTTATTTATGCACTGCCTTTCTCTGGTATACGAATCATGTACATAAGCGACAAACATAATAGTATTATGTTTTCAAATAGATTTTTTTTTCTAAGCAGTGTTTTTAATCTAATTTGGCCAGGGTAACCTTGATGTATAGTAATTTTTAACTCTTGCACCCAGTGAACTAAGTCACTTGCATGGCTGGACTAGCCTTGTTCGTGACATTGAGCTTATAACTACAGTACAATTACCTACATGTAAAGCCAATTTTATGCAAAGATACGGGGAGCTGATTGCACCATAACCTATTCAAGGAGAAAAAATTATTATGACGCAGAAAGTGCACGTTTAAAATGAAGGTTATGTAGTGAACACTTTTTGGCACTTACTATTGTTAGTTATAAAGTACCCTCACATACCACAGCACAGCTGTTAATCTCTTTTGGTAAAGCCACTACACTTGACATACTAGTAAATTAGATTAAGATCTTCTATAACCCACATGAAACCCTCTGTTGAATTCATCAGTGTAACTGGTACCAGAGAGACCTATGAATATCTTAAATTTACTAAGCGTGTGTTGTGCAACAGGAAGTACAATATATATATATCTTGAACCTGCACTCAATCTCCTAGTCTTGATCTTGCCTTGGTGCAAAGCTTAAATGTCGTGTTATATAATATCCCAGAAAAAGCACACTCAGAAAGCCTTTGTAAGTGAAATACATGCTTTTATTAATTAAATGTAGTTCAATGTATATACACAATAAATTGTTGTTTAGTAAATAAACTGTTGCTGGCACGGTCGGTAAAATCATTGCCTGTACTATCACTAGCTTCCCATTCACAAAACTGTGAACTGCTAAGCCGTCTGCATAATTTTGAAGTTAAAATATTTGTGCATGCAGGGGGGCGGGTCCTGACTGCCATGCTAAGTAGTCGTACTCTGTTTGAGCTCTTTGAAGAATCTTGAATTATGTACCTTTTTGGTGGGCTTTTGGTTCACAGTTCTCAACACTGACGTTTACAGAGCTCTACTTTAACCTGCAGACTCATGTATGTACATAGTGGGGAATCGTGATGCAGCCTAGTACATAAACTAACCCCATTCAACCCCCCAATAACGACAGACAACTTAGTATGGATGAAACAGGCCACAGCATTTATTATCACAAACTAAATTACTGCCTAACACATCCATAACTTTATTTATTAAATCTCTTCTTTTTCTGTAACCAAAAAAGTTAGACATAAATAGGCATAAATTAACATATATACATATATGACTCCACACACGTGTTATACAGTGACCGAACCGTCCATGCCAAAAAACATACAGTGGTTCCTAATCACCACTTCCGCTCACCTCCTCCCTCGTCATAAAAATCATATCTTTCCAATGCCCGCCATCAGCCGACCTTATCCACGCTCGATGGGCACGACACCTCAGGTAACCTAATGTTAACCGTTTGAAGCAGGGGAGGTTGAGACCTTAAAAACTTGTTCATCTCATTCCATATACTTAAATGTAACCCCTCAAACTCAATTGGCAAGGACATACCCCCACCACAACCCCGCTGTTTTACACCTAAAATCAGCGGGGGACCCCACCACAACCAGCCATGGCCTATTCCACCACTTCTTGCAGCGCTAGATTAACATAGGCCTAGTCCGACCTCCAGCAAGCGCACCCATTCCCTCGAGATAACTAGGCCACATCCGGCCAAACCCTAAGGTGAACTGGAATCCCCCAAGCCCCCAAGACAAACCTAGAAACCCATCTCGTCCGATTTCCGACGGCAGCGAACCAATGCACTCACATTGCTGAGCGCACTGTCAACAGGAATGGGTGATAGCCTCAGCCCAGCCCCTGAGAACCTCTGGGAAGAAACAGAATGCGTAACATGTCCAGATTTAAGGGCACCCAAATCCCAAACTGTCACCGAACCCAGGTCATTCCACCCAGAGATGACAAAACCCCCGGAACCCCCTGGAGGCGGGACAGCTGACCCCGGACAAGGAGGAGCCACTCCCCCCTCATGTATCTGGTGCCAGCCCACCAAACCTCCGCTCCCGAAGGTGTAAGATCCAGCCACCACCAATCCATTCGGAGACCGGCAGGGTGAACCCAAGGAACCTACCACCCTGACCCCTACCATTCAAGCCCTTTGAACCAGTGGTGCAAGCATGCCCAGCCTGGCGGAGGATGTAGCCGCCTCTAACCGGACTGAATGCTCCCTGAACTCTCCACCATCCTTACCCAGGAATTCTAGCCCCAATTGGAGCACCCCAACGACATGGACGCAGGAGAAAACCCACCTCCGAGAACCAAATCAAGGCGTGAGGAGGCCGCAGGGGAGGGCTGGCAGCCTTAGGCCTGGGGGGCAAAACCACGTGGCCCATTGCACCACCAAATCAGTTCACCATCCATGCCCACCTTTTCCTGGTTTTATAACGGATATTGATGTTATGCTAATCAGTAGCTCTTTGCAAAACCCGCTCCTTCACTGCTCTGACTTTCAATGTTGTCAGAGCGCAGGCTGAGAATCTCTGAGCCTGTGCTCCGACTCACTAACTGAGCGCCGGAACCATGAGGGAGAGGATATAATCTGACTGCACCTACTGCTGGTGCGCACCAGTGGACCACCAGCGAATCGTTTAAATTGAATATGCTGGTGTCCCCAACTTGTGAGCTGTGTTGGCCGCCGGGCGCTTCTGTTGTCATGGCACACTGCGTGACCGCACAGCGTGCACACCCCAACGGCTGGCCCTGCTGACACACACTGATGTTACTACTTAGAAATCCCTCAATATTAATACAGACATCAGGGTAAACACCAATAAACTGTGGAAACAGAGCTGATCCTCCCTAAATTTATAAAGATTTGCTTAGTGGATTTGTTGTAAGATTAAATCATGCCTCCTCCTCTCTCTCTCCCATGCGCTGCTCTGTAGGCTGGGAGGAAGTGAAGAGTAATCACATTCTCCCAGCACAGCCTGTGGCTGCATGGGGAACAGCTGTTTAATGTAATGCTTGCAGGACGGCCAGCTGCCGCAGAACCTCTTTGTTCCCGTCTCTGCAAAGGGCTCTAGGCACTGCTTGCTGTGAGTGTGAGCCACTGTAAATTAGGGACAGAGGGCATTGCAGTAAAGACGGGTCTGGGCAGGAGGAGAGTGCAGTGCAATCAGTGCACTCCCCTCCTGTGAGTCACCAGTAGACTGGTGCACCTACCCAGGATCAGAGCCGGTGCAAGGATTTTTGCTGTCCTAGGCAAAATAAAAATTTGCCGCCCCCCATGTGACATCACAATGCCCCACCTATATGATCTGCCATATGAACTAACGCCAGTGCTGCACACAGTGTGTTTTCATTAAAAAGCCTGCAGGGACCGGCTATAGACACCAGAATCACTTCATTAAGCTGAAGTGGTTCTGGGGATTATAGTGTCCCTCTAATGTGAGGTAAATTATAGATTAGTGTCACTAATATCATACTAGATTGCCTACTTACAACCAGATGAGGATGATGATGGGCTGCAGTTTGGCTCCACTGGTCTGGTGTAGAACAG